TGCTCCAAGCCCTGTCCAACCTGGCATGGAACACTTCCAGGCACGGGGCATCCACAGATTCTCTGGGCAGCCTGTGCCAGGGCCTCAGCACCCTCACAGGGAGGAATTCCTTCCCAATATTCCATCTAAACCTACTATCAGCTTGAATCAATTCCATCTTATCCTTCACTCCAGTTCCTGACAAAGAGTCCCTCTCCAGCTTCCCTGTAGTCCCCTCACATCCTGGAAGGTTGTTCTAAGATCTCCAGACAATCTTCTTTTCTCCAGGCTGAAACCCCAGTCTCCTCATCCTGACCCCAGAGGGGAGGTTTACACAGAGGTGTATCCACACCTGGGTTTCTCCTAGTTCAGAGGCAAGCCTTGGAGGGCGGCTCTACTTCCAAGTCCCACCAGCTCTGCTCCATTTGGGAAGGAAAGATTGAGAACAGCTGGATTCTCTGTGGGCAAGGGGCTTCAAGAACCAAGATGTGCTCACAGCAGTGTTGACCCAAGGGTGCTTGGAATGAGGTGGGACACAGAGGGTGTGGGCTGAGCAGTCTCAGGACCAAGTAAGCTGGAAAACAGCTTTTACATGTTGGTTACAGCACTTGATTTGCACCCTGCACAGGCTATCACATCTCAGGTGCAACCAAAGGAGATTGTAATTGGATATCATCCAAGTTTTGCAGCAGAAATGCACACAGCACTCACAGCTTCAGCTTCCAGCCTTCTCCAGGTCTGCTCCAGAGGCTGAAGCATCACAAATATATGGGAGCCACCTCCCCTAACTTCCACCCTTAGAACAACTGGCTTTTACAGGGCAGGCAAGCCCGGGATCTGCACAGAACTGGGATTTCAAACCCATTCCAACAGTGAAAATGCCTCGTTTGAAGGTGTTGGACAGCTCCAAGAGCAAGCCACAAATGCCAGCCTCTGCTCTGCATCTCTCCCACATCAGGACAGGCCCCAGACATCTTGTCATCTCCAGGGTGATGTGAGTAGAACCACACAGATCCTTCTCTTACCAGCTGGTTCCAGTCTGATCCCATGAGCCAAATTCCTGGGGCTGGGGGACTCCTTGCAGCCCAGCCAGTGCCAGGGTTTCTGGTTGTTTGCTCTGTGTTTTGGCTCCACAATGGATGCAAGGCAAGTGTTCTTGGGTCCTTCAGGGTTTCTCCCACTCATAACCCAGCTCCCCAGGTCCAAAGCTATGGGATGTTTCTTAAACACCCTGTTTAAGAAAAACAGGTGGAAACTGAGAGTATGGAGCTGCAGAAGGGGCTGGGGCAGAAAGGAGGGAGAGGAGGAGACAGGATGATGATTGAGCCTCTCCCACTCTAGGAATGCACAGAAGCTGGCATATGAATCAAAAACACACTTGGGGATGTTCTTTTGTTTACCTTTGTCTAATCCTTGGATTTCTTAGTGGAAGAATGTTTTCATTGGAAGCTTCTGCAAAGCCACCATGTCTGGCAGCAGGACATCAAGCTCAGCCGTGTGAGAACACGCTGAGTACAACACTCAGCACCAAATCAGGCCAAAAACTGACCCAAAACACCCCCCAAATCTTCCAGCCAAACCTTGCCTCCTGCTCAGAGCTCCTGCACAGCAACAGAAACCCCTTCTCAGCAGGACTTAGCTGTTGCTCCAAGCAAGACCCAGCCTAAGGTTGGGACAGGCACAGCACACTCCCTGCAGGAATGAGGTGAGCCATCAAGAATAAAGCACATTCCTTCCACCCCAAAACACTCCCTCTCTGCAATGCCACTTCCATCTGATATTTGCAAGGCACTCCCAGAGGTAGGTTCTACATATCCTCACCTGTGAGGAAGCAGCAATTACCAGGAGCATCACTGTGTGGAGCCCACGGATGGCTGCAGGAGTTTCCTTATCTGGTTGGAAGAACCTGGATGTGCCAGGGCATTCATTAAGTGCCTCACTCCCCCAGCAGCAGCTCCACAGATTCCAGCTGCCAGGCTGATTCCTTATCAGGCATTCTGTGGTGCCAGTGGAGTTACTTGGATCCCTCACACCAGTTCTCAGAACTCTTTTGTACATTTTAAACACATTTCTTTAATTTCTTCCAATGGCTCCTCACTGAAATTCCTGTGCTGAGATCAAACAGCATCCTGTGATAATCCACTGGCACCAGCAGGAATTCAGCTGACAGACAGGCATTTCTCAAGTTGAGTTGCCACAGCCTCAAGCACTCAAAATCCATGGGTCATTTGCACATGTGTTGTGCTGAAAAAATACCTGATGTGAGGCACAAAACACTCCAAGGGCGCGGATTCCCAATGGGATTGCATGGACACCCTTCACTTGCCAGGTGAGAGTTTTAACACTGGCATTTGGATTGGTGACTTTTTCTCCTTATTGTTTTTAATCTTCCTTTTCTTCAAAACAATTCCCATCCATCAGCTACCAAAAAAAATGCTTAAACTCAAATGGAATGCCCTGAGAGGAATTCCACTCTTTTGGCAGTATTTCCACTTGCCTCTGACAAGCACCAGCTGACCCTTCCATGCTGTAGTTTAGAGCACACAACACATGAGTCTTTCCAGACAGAAGGGCAGGAAGCCTCAGATCCCAGCACAAAGGTTGTTGAACACTCTGGGGTGCTGATTGCAAGTGTCAAACTCCAGGGAAGAAAATAAATTAAATAAAACAAAGTCACCTCCTCATTCCCATCTTCTTTTGTCATGTCAGCCTTGCCCTCTGCTGCCAATCTGGACACAGCTACAGTGAGGAACTAAGGACTTGAGGCTGAACAAGGAAAGTGTTTTGATCCTCCAAGGTGCCTTGAGATACATGGAAAAATCACAGAGCAGCCATTCTCTGAGTGCTGTTTTCCAGATGCCCTTCATCTCCCTGAACACCTCCACAGCTCTCAACCCATCACTTAGGAAGCCCTGTCTGCTCTCAGCCTTCTCCTCTCCCCATGATTTGATCCCTCTTCACTCCAGAGTGATCACTCCTCCGAGTCCACCCAAGAACTCTGTCCTTGGTTCTCAAAGAGAAACCCATCCCACCCTGTCCTTCAGCTGGATTCCCACCTAAGCCACCAACTTAATGCTCATCACTTCTGGCCTTTTACTCCTTCTTGCCTCATTTTGACTTCTGGCATTACCCTCCCAAGAAAAAAAAAAAAAAACAAAAAACTGGGAGCCACAATCTTCCTCATTTCTTCTTCCATGTAACTACAGATTTCTGTTCATCATCATTTCTGTTCTCCTTGCCTCACCTCCCAGCCATGCTCCATCCAGCCCTCCCCAGGGTCACACAGAGACTCTTCTACATACTTTAAGACTAGAAGTTAGCAACAGTGTTCTCCTTCCAGGAAGTCTGTCTTTCCGATCTTCTACCCAAGTGATCTGTTCCTCAAGAGTTTCTCCAAAAGCCTGTGGAGCTAAGGTAAGCCACATGCAGCAAAATCCCTGCAGTAAAGCTATTTGCAGTCTCAGGAACAACAAATTACTGCAAGGAATCTACTTGAGGTAGCTCTGCTATCAGCAGAATGCCTATGGTTGAAGCATTGAATCATTAGGGTTGGACAAGACCTCCAAGAGTCCAACCTCTGACCAGAGCCCACCATGTCCAACAAACTGTACCATCAAGTGCCACATCCACCTGCTTTCTGAACACTTCCAGGGATGGGGATGCCACCACTGCCTGGGGTGGAGCAGCTGGCAGCCTCATCCTGTAGATGAACCCTGATTAAACAAAAGCAAATTCCCAAAATGAAGAGTTGTAGCTGTACCCTAACCTATGGTGAACCACTTCCCAGCCTCTGTGGATGAAGGCAGGGGAGAAGCAGCCTAGGGAAGGGAAAGCTGACGCACTTCTCGCTCCCACAGCTCCGAGTCGAGCAGGTTCAGGTGCAGCACATCCCTGAGCCATGTCCAGCCCACCGTGGTCAGATGTCACCTGTGACACTCCTGGGGTGTGAGCAGAACTTGCACAATGCACATCCTGTGTGCACGTGACGCTGCCCTGGGCACACAGAAGAGGTGGATCATTTTCACCCTGGGCTGTTTTCCAACCTCACTTTCAGAGCTGTGATCTCCACAGATCCTGTTGGAACACTGACCTGGATGTCAGGAACTGCCACTGCTGACTTCAGCACCCATGTCACCACCAAGTCCTGCCACTGCTACCAGTTCCCCAGGTCAGAATGGAGAGACCACACACCCAAGGCCCTGCTGCTGTCCCCAGACACAGCCACTCCAAACTCAACCAAACAAAACCAGTTCCAATTCTGTCAGGCAAGCACAGCCCATCACAACATGCCCAAACTTGAGCCAGCAGGAGAATTTCCTTCCAGGATAAAGCAAGACTTGGGTCACTGGCCACAGGTAACAAACCCTGGAGTACAGACAGGAAAGACCACACAAGGCTCTGCCTCATGTGACACTAATTAGAAAGGATTAATCTTCTTCAGCAAGGTTCACAATTCTGGAAAGAACAGAAGCTGCACATCTGCATGACCCAGCCAAATCCAGCTGCTCGTACTTGCACAGCAGTCTCCTTAAAACTCCGATGGCTCCGGAGCCTGTCAGGGCAGTGTCCCACCCCTGCAGTTGCACAAACACTCGAGGCAGCGGGTGCTCAGCTGCAGATGCTGAGAGACAAAAGGCTCTCTCTTTTGTCTCTTCCTGTCCCACACTGTGCTGAACCCTCCTCATGGTGCCACCAGGCAGAGGATGCAGCCTACAGCTCACCAGGAGAACCAGGAGCTATCCTGCAAGTATCTTTGTTACATATAGAAAAAGCCTGAATCCATCACACATTTTGCTGAAAAAACAGTTCAGTCCTCTTGAGCAATGTTCAACTCAAAACAGCCGGGGTGGAATGGATCTCTGGGTTAAGGAAGGCAGCAGGATAATACCTGAAGTCTCAGGGACCAGTTCCACTGGAAGGCAGGTAATCCCCCTTCTCTTCCTGCCAGCTCCAACCTAACCACCACCAACCTGCACAATCCACACACAGGGCAAGGTGAGGGACCAAGCTTTCACATTAGGTGTAATAGAAAAACATTCTTTACTCTGCAAGTGTCTTTACAAATATATATTTATATATTTAAGCCCATTTCAGGCCATAAAAGCCCATAAAAAACAACTAGTACCTTTTTGAACAAGAGAAACTGTGGGGCAGAAGCCTGAGGTGACAGACTCCCACACAGGGACTGCTCTGGCGCTTCTCTGAAGGCCTTTAGTTAGCACATAAAACCATCTCAAAAATCCTTTGATGTGAAAGGAGGGGCACCATTCTTACCCCACTTTCACCACTCTCTATATGAGGTAAACTGGGATCACTTTTACATCATCGCTTTAGAAAGGAGATGTTGCATCCTGAAGACCAGCTTTTCCAAAGAACATCTGTGAATGGGTTAAAAAGGTAAGATGTGTGGATCCAACCATAATGTGCTGTTGTCTCAAAATAGAAGAAGTTGATACTAAAAAGCTATTCCAGATACATACAAGTACAAACACTAGAGCTGGTCAGAAAGATTCAGTTTCAACATTTTGTTAAAAGCAGGGAAAATTTTCTGCAGTGTGTTTTTTTCATTTCCCCTCTCCTCAGTTTTCTACCAGTTCCATAAACCCTTCTGAAAAAATCATGTGTCTGCTGTCAGAGTGCAAAGTCCATCCAAATCTCATGTTTCAGTTCACTATCTCTACACTTTACAAATCCTGATGGCAAACCAAAAGGTCTCAATTTAACTTAGCAAAAGTGATATCTAGGAAATATTCAACACCAAGAGGTCTTACAAAAAAACTTGAGACTACTAAGGCATTCTAAGGCACAGTGTTTTGGAAGAAGTGCTTTCTCCCTGTAGTGTTGCTTTATACACATCACGTGTGCGAGTCCGAGGGATGCATGGAGCTGCAGATGGATGCCATGGCTTCTCCCAAGCAGGGAATTCCACCTTCTGCTGCTGTTTCAGACGTAGGCTCCCAACGCTGCGTGAAATTCAGTGAGACATTGCACCAACTGCTGAAACTTGGGTCTCTCCTCAGGATCTAGGGCCCAGCAGCAGGCCATCACAGCAAACCTGCAACACAGAGGCACATGGAGCACAAGGGAGCCCTGTCAGCCAGGCAAACACAGCCCCAGCCTGAAAAGCAAAACAGCATCTGGCACTGGGAAACTGGCTGAGCAACCAGAGAGAGACAAGGAGCTCTGGATCTTATGGTTCACAATGCTAAACAGCTCCTTCCAAGGATGGACACCTGGAATGATGAGCAAAGGGGCTGTCACCAGAGGTCCTGGCTTGATTTAGGACATAACCCATGGCAATCCAGGAAGGAGCAAGTAGACAGTTCACTGGAAATTGCTCAACTGCTATAAAAGCATGGAATGGTTTGGGTTGGAAGGGACATGGAAGATTATCTGGTCCCATCCCCTGCCATGGGCAGGAACACCTTCCAGTAGCCCAGGGTGCTCCAAGCCCTGTCCAACCTGGCATGGAACACTTCCAGGCACAGGGCAGCCACAGCTTTTCTGGGTAACCTGTGGCAGGGCCTCAGCACCCTCAGAGGGAGGAATTCCTTCCCAATATTCCATCTAACCCTGCCCCTGGCAATAGGAAGCCATTCCCCCTTGTCCTGTCACTCTACTCCTTGTCCAAAGTCCCCCTCCAGCTCTCCTGGAGCCCCTTTAGGCACTGGAAAGGGCTCTGAGGTCTCCCTGGAGCCTTTTCTGGTCCAGGCTGAACACTCCCAGATTGTCTCCAGCCATCAGAGTATCTCCAAGACCTCCTCTGGACTCTCTCCATCAGCTCCACTTCCTTCTGATGCTGGGGACCCCAGAGCCAGAGTTCCACAAGCAATGTTTACCCCAGGGTTTGTCTGACAGGCAGAACAAACAGGCAAGGAAAGGCAGCCCTGGCTCTCTCTCTGGGCAGCCTGGCTTAGCAGCCCAAGCACAAAGCAGCACCGTTCTCCTTCCCCAGCAGAGACACTCACAGTTCATCGGGGCAGTTGATGGGCTGAGCTATTCGATAGCCATCCTTTAAATAAGCTGCCATCTCAAAGGGGTCGATGTCCACGTAGGGGGTCTGTCCCAGGGTCATCAGCTCCCACAGCGTCACCCCAAAGGCCCACTGCAAAAGGAACAGTGCAGGCATTAACATAACATCCTGAACCCCCAGAGCTCCTCCAGCCAGGGCACAAAATCACCTGTAAGGAGGATTACACACAGTAAGAAAGCTGTACATAAATGCTTTATATAACCAAAGTCAACATGTCTTGAACTGGGCTAATGAAAAATCACACAACTGGTGTTAAATTGCCCAGAGAAGCTGTGGCTGACCCATCCCTGGAAGTGTCCAAGGCCAGGCTGGACAGGGCTTGGAGCAACCTGGGATAATGGAAGGTGTCCTGCCCCTGGCAGGGAGTAGGATCCAGATGGTCTTAAGGTTCCTCCCAACACAAACCAACCTGTGATTCCAGGAAACTGAAATAAACTCAAAATCTTACTGCACTAAGATATCAATGCTTAAAAATAATGGATTTTTTTAACATGAAATTACAGAACACCTAAATCTAAACAATACTGAACACTGAATGATTGTCTTGTATAAAACTGTTATTTACTTTTTTACATTTTGCTTCTTTAGAATGCCTCAAAAGTCCTCAAAAAAGTCTGTGAAATTCAAAGGATCAGAAATGAAATTATAATTTTTTTATTCCAAATCATCTGTATATTTGGAGAGTATGCTCAGGAATAGGACTCAGGAAAAAAAAAAAGAGATTTCATCTCAGTAAACCTGACAGCTCAATCAGCATCCAACACATTCAGCTAGCAACCCTTGCCAAAAGGAGTTTAAAGTGATGAAAAATCCATCTATGAATCCACACACTAGCTGAGTACAAGGAAAATTATTTATTATCTGGTATCCAGAGACCCAGGAGACCAGAGATGGGGCTGATACTTCACGCTTGTGACTCACTACTCAAATTACACATCATCTTTCATTAAAAAGGGGCAGAATCATGCAAAACTCACATGATTCTTGTTTTAATTAAGATAAATCCCACCACTGCCTTGACCCAAGCCATAGGGAAGGGATATTTTCAGGTGGGAATGGCAGAGAAGGGCAGGGGCACAGATGTGGCCCTGCTCCAAACAACCACCAAAGGAAATAAAGCCCCTTTTTAGCTGCAGTGGAGAACAATGATGAGGCACAAGGGTGGTCATAAAGATGAGCTAGAGAGTGATTCAAGCAAAACCACTCTGTTCTAATTCTATAGGTAGCTGTACAAAAATGGCATGAAGAGATGCAGAGTTTCATGTCCAACAGCAGGAAAAACACGGAATTAAGATTCAGCAGGAATTGTGGTTTGTTTTCCTACACTCTGGCTGACTGATAGAGCTGTTGGCAGGGGAGCAACATATTATTAGGAAAGTTTCAAGCCAGCGAACACATTTGAAAGAAAGTCATCCAAAAAGCAAGCCTGGAACACACCCCATGGCATCTCTGCAGACACAGACACTGTTTGTACCAGACTTCATCACCCATTCCCTGTTACATGCGATGGATCACTGCGTTTGTTCCCTCCAAACCCACAAAAACATCTGACATCAGCTTTTTGTGAAAGGAGTCCAGGTAGATGCAAAGCTGGTATTTAGGACACATGGTGTTTTCTACACCCAGAAAAACTGTTCATTTTTGAACTCCACAAAAACTCAGAGGGCCACGTGTCTGCAGTTAGAATTGTGTGTTAAAAGGTGGGTGGCATTTATCTCTAAGCAATAAAAAAAGGACTTCTGGTTAAAATGGGCTGGAAGAGATGCTGAATTGCACTGGAGTTTTCAAGAATGGTTACAATAATGAGATTTACTCATCCTAATAAAATTCCACATCTCATTGCTGCTGTTACATAAGCTTTGATTTCTCACAAACAGTAATTACTTTCATGTCCCAGATTTTTTTTAAAGTAAAAATAAAAAAAACACCATTTGATTGAGTTAGTTTAGCTCTCTAAAAACATGCTTTTACAGGCAACTTCCATTTCCTCTTCTGTCTTCAAGTTTGGTATAACACAAACTCCCATGTGTTTTCCAATGAATACACATGTGGAGCACAACTGGCACCTTCCCTTCCTTCCTTCTTTTTCTTGTTTACATGGCTGCAGAGACCATGGAGGGAAAAAAAACAACCAGAACTTCTATAAAGTTTCCCAAACTGGCACCAGACCACCATCCAGGATGGGATGCATTGAGGGAACAGGCTGAGGTCACTGCAACACTGCTCTTATCTCTGAAAGGTCACCTCAGCTGGGAGAAGTTCCTGGCCACTGGAATGAAGGCATCCTCTGGAACAGCTGGAATTTGGGGGACTATGGGCCTCACAGTCAAACACCAGCTCCTGCTAATGTTAGGGAGCTCATTATCCTGGAGCTCAATCCCATGTCTGTGAAGCACAGGGATGTCTGGGAACAGCCAGTGTGGATTTGTCAAGGGAAGCTGTGCCTGGACCAGATCTGTGCTGAGCAGACAGAGCACAAGGTGAATAATGGATGGCCACATGGACTTCTAGAAGGTGCTGGGGCACTGAACAGGATCCCCAGGGAATGGGCACGGCCCCAAGGCTAACAGAGCTCCAGGAGCATTTGGGATTGTTGGAGTGTCCTGTGAAGGTCCAGGAGCTGGACTGGATGATCCTTGTGGGTCCCTTCCAAGCTGGGATACTTTATGAAAAGCAGACTAGTGCCAGTGCAGCTCCCTGAACTTGACTATGTTCCCTGTCAGTGCTCCCAAGGGAAAAGGAGCAAGGGGCACTTCTGCTGTGCACAAAGGGCCTGACTGACCCCTGAACCATCTGCCATGAGCTGCTGATGCAGGAGTGGGAGTAGAGATGGTGCTCTGAACAAGCCACTGTTATCTATCCAGTGCCATGATGCCCTGCCTCCAGCTCTGGGGTTCCCAACATCAGAAGGATGTTGGAGCTGCTGGAGCAAGTCCAGAGGAGGCCACAGAAATGCTCCAAGGGCTGGAGCATCTCTGTTCTGGAGCCAGGCTGGGAGAACTCAGGGTTCCCCTGGAGAAGAGAAGGCTCCAGGGAGACATCACAGCACCTTCTGGTGCATGAAGGGTTCCTCTCCAGAACTGGAAGGGAACTATAAATAACGGATGGGAGGATGCGACAAAGGGGAATGGCTGCACATGGACAGAGGGCAGCATTAGATGGGGTATTTGGAAGAAACTCTTCCCTATGAGGGTGGAGAGGCCCTGGCACAGGGTGTCCAGCAGCAGCTGTGGCTGCCCCTGGATCTCTGGGAGTGTTCCAGGTCAGGCTGGATAGGTCTTGGAACAACCTTGGACAGTGGAAGGTGTCCCTGTCCATGGCAGGGGGTGGAATTAAATGGGCTTTAAAGGTCCCTTTCAATCCAAAGTATTCTGGGATTCTTTGTTTCTCCAACAGCTGAAAAAGGAAAAAAATGTCAACAAAACACATTTCCAAAATGCAAGAGGAGGGGGGAAAAAGCCTCACCACATCACTAGCACTGGAAAATTCATTGTTGACCAGGCTTTCCAGAGCCATCCAGCGGACTGGTCTGTTCTCGTTGTCCCCCAGGCAGTGGTAGTCCATGGGGAACAGGTCCCGCGACAGCGCGTTGTCCGTGATCTTCACCTGCAGGCCGTCGTCGATGCTGGGGCACAGAAACAGCAGCTTCAGCAACCCCTGCAGCCTCCCAGCAACAGCTCTGCCCAGCCCTAAGGTCCACACTTAGCATCTACCTGGGCACTGCTAGACCACATCTCAAGCACTGGCAATTTCCTGCATCAAGACACACTTGCTCTGTGATTAGCAAATATTATCACAGCACCAATTTATTCTGTGCCAACTGATAAGCGCTACAAAAATCAGCAGGCTTGGTCAAACAAAACCAAACACTTAAAAGTGCAAAAAAAAAAAAAAAAATACTGTTAAAGCAAACAAGTAACTGCCTCAAGTTACTCCTGCTCTTTTGGAGATCCCCCAGAGCAAATAAACACTTAGTAGCTCTAGTAACTGTGGCAATAATGAGGCAAAGATCTAAGCAAAGAAAGAGCCAGTTAATACCTTTAACCAACCAGTACACTTTGTGGTCCAGAAGCGTGTCTCTTATTAAGCCAGCTGAAAAACTGTTCATTCCCTCCACAACAGCTATTGATGCTTGTCAGAAGTAGGGTACTAAGGGAAACTTACTTTAATCAAGAGAAGATGACTCAAAACAGCACAGAGAATTCGCCCCCTCTGGGATGTGATTCAAACTCTTTGAACTTAAAACAGTGTGTAATAAAGTTCAGTGTTCTCATGAACAGCTGACTTCAGAATATGGCAAAGATGTTGGCTTCAACATTGTATGACAAAAATACAGAAGGAACACTGGGGTGGGGGTATTGGAACAATTTGGTTTTTGTTGTCTTCTCATCTTGCCAATTATTCTTTTATTGAGAAAAATGAAATATAAATGCTCTGTGTGTTTCCCTCTTCACTGTCTCAGATACCTATTTATTTTATTTTTATGCACTTTCAGACCAATTCATTATCCTCAAAATTTACACAACAGGAAATTTCCTATCTAGTAATTTTTAAGAGTTCAGAGAAATTCCTAGAAGACATCTTTGAAAACAAATTCAATGCAAAGGGTAATTCCCCAGCAATTAAGACAGCCCTGACTTGTGTAATTCTCATGTCCACTGTAATTGGACTGGCTGTGCCATGGGCACATGAGACCGCAAGCATTTCCTCCCTTAAACCTGCCAAGATCACTGGAATCTTGGTTCCCTTCCCAAAATTAGGGCATGGGTCTGATGCACTTCCCAACCTTTCACCACCCACAGCAAACCTGGGGAACAAAGAGGGGCTGGTGGAACAAAGTCCTTCAGGGCACCTTGGCTACTGGCACCTCTTTCTCTTTCCAAACATAAAGCTCCAGGTGATGGCCCTGATGTTTGTGATCTCTGTCTCCCGTGGTCCCACTTCCTCCTCAGTGTGCTCAGTAGTGAGGAAAAGCAAGAGAAATTAGGAACAGGATGTGTCAGGAGCCCCATCACACTGAGCATCCTTACGGGGCACAAGAGCAGAGATGGTGGCCACTGAGTGACTGGGTTCCTAGAAGGCCACCAAACACCTCCACCTCTACATTTTGGAGTGTATTCCAGCCTGAAGATGGTCTCAAACCCCACTCTGGCATTCCTGCTATTCCATTTGTATCTATCCATCATTTGGCAACTAAGAAATCTACCAATGAACAAAGTCTTTAACTCCGTTTTTAAGGAGAAAAAATTAAGAAAACCAACTTCAAACAAAAATCTATCCATTGATAAACTGTCAAAGATATTCCAGGTTTTTATTAAAGTTGAAGGGAAGTTTTAATTCTTTTCAAGCCTTTGATAAAGTGACAGACAAAGGCAGCTGAAGCATTTACAGAGAGAATGTTCTGCATTCTTTAGCACCACAATTCCTGGTTCCCCTTGCTTTGGAGAAAAACAACTTCACTGACTGCACCAGTGACCCCAACCCTGCATTTTGAAGGAGAGCCAGGCTGAGTGCAGGGAGATGCAGGAGCAGAGGGGACAGTACTTACACACAGTTCCTCGCAGCCAGGTCTTTGTGGATGACCTCCCTCCTGGCCAGGTAGCTCATCCCACAGGCAATCTGGATGGCCATGTGTACCAGATCCTGCTGGGAAATCGCCTGCAAGAGCCCAGAGCAGCAGCCATCAGCCCCTCCAGCCCAGTACCTGCAGGGTTACTGGGTTTGCTGTGTCCCAGTGCCCCCTCCCCTTCCAGGCCCCACAGACACAACCACCTATGGGCACTCATCATGGTGCCTTACTCTAAATTTTAACTTCTTTTTTTGACGTGTCAAGGGAAAATACTTCCATCTTGCAAGTGCCTTACTCTTTGCACCTACTTTTTGTTTGATTGGAAGTGGACATAGGCAAAAAATGGTCCATTTTACCTCTTCCCACACCTTTTTCACTTTGTTTCCCTGGAAATCAGCTAAATTCCAGGCAGAAGCACAGCCAAAATCCTTGTTGCTTCCAAAACCAATATCAAAGGCTGTTGCTTCAGCTCCTTTTGCAACTTCACAGTTCCATCCTAATTAAAATCTTGCATGTATTTATAGCTTGGGATACCAAAAGTAGTAAATCTGAAATTTCTCCATACATGATTTTCCTTAATTTAATCCACAATTTTATTTCTTGATATAATTTTAGGATGCATTGATTGAGCTCCTACCCTAATGAGAGGTGACAGCTTCCTGCCCTCTGAACACCCATTATAAACAGCCAGGAATGCTTTCCTGGTGGGAAACAAGGCAAACACTTGCTGAGGAGGCACCTCTGCAGCTCTCCTGCTATCACACTGAACAGGAGAGTGCCACAACCATTCCTCTGGTGGCACAAACTCAGGTGCCAGAGCAAAAGGAGGCTTGATGGGCACAAAGTCCCACATGCCCAAGGGTACCTGGGGATTGTTGGCCTCCACCAATTTGCACTGTCGCAGGAAGAGTTTAAGGTTCCCCCAGTTCATGTAGGGCAGCAGCACCATTGGTTTCTCTCCCTCCTCTATACAGACATGAGTGATAGGCAGCAGATTCCTGGAAGACAGAGAAATTCCTAATGTTATGGAACTGAAATTTGATAAAAATACTTTTGATTCCTAAACACAGCAATAAAATTAATTCAACATGGAAGAAAAGCATTTGATCTTGTATTAGGAATTGCAGAGCACAAGGTGTCCAAATAACTGAAGCCTTAGACATTACTTCTTTTAATGAATGAAATATTTTACTATTTGCCTGTTATGAAGAACCCTCCAAAGGTTTTCACTTGGTCCAAGAAGGTTGACATAAATTGTTGTGAATACAAGTGATACACAGAAGTGCTATATCCTAAACTGGGAGGTGCAGCTTTCTAAATCAACTGCAGATATAAAATATATACTTCCATTATAGCAGTTAAACAAAAAAAAGTCAAAACAACATGTTTGATCTGCTTCAAAGTGACAGAACTGAAAATTTTAATTCTGAATCAGCCTCTTTAAGGGTCTTTCCAAACCTTTTGTGGCTCAGGTAACCTCCATGCTGCAGTGTCTCTGCACATCTTCCTTTGAAGATATATAATATTACATATATATATATATATATATCAATTAATTCATAGAAACTCAAACCAAACTGGACCCAGTTTCAATTTCCAATAATCACTTTTTAAAATACCTGTATTTTCCATTGAAAACCATTAGCAAAGTCACCAGTGACTTACAATTGTTTTTAATTTTGAATTTTCTTACTCTTTCCTGAAAATTTCTCACAGCCAGGTGTCCCATCCATGAGCTCTGGAGACCCGTGATGGTCCCAGCCTCAGAAGCAGTGTAGGAAAAAAAAACATTTTGGACTTTTTAAAAATAGTTTGACTTATAATAGGGAGGACAACAGCTCATTTGGAATGAGGAGAGTAGGGCAGGTTCATTCTCTTTCTATTTTAGGTATGTTTCACCAAAAACCTGTTTTAAGGTCTTTATTATGTAAGGCTGGGAACATCCTGGAGAAGGCTCCAGGGGGACCTCAGAGCCCTTTCCAGTGGCTAAAGGGGCTCCAAGAGAGCTGGAGAGGGACTGGGGACATGGAGTGACAGCACAAGGGGGAATGGCTTCCCACTGCCAGATGGGGATAGATGGGATCTTGGGAAGGAATTGTTGCCTGGGAGGGTGCTGAGGCCCTGGCACAGGGTGCCCAGAGAAGCTGTGGCTGCCCCTGGATCCCTGGAAGTGTTCCAGGCCAGGCTGGACAGGGCTTGGAGCATCCCAGGATAGTAGAAGGTGTCCCTGCCCATGGCAGAGATGAGCTTTAAGGTTCCTTCCCACCCAAGCCACCCTGGCATTCCATGATTCTACAGAAGTGTTGCTGAATTCCCAAAGAGCTCCCTCTCCCCAGGGAGGTTTAGCTCAGGTACTTCCACCTCACAGTGACATGGATTTGTCACCAGCCCTGCGTGCCCTACCTGTGGTGAAGCCCTCTGAGTTTACAGCTTTCCGTCAGCATCATTGTCACCTGCACCTCTGAGGCTTGATCTGAGGGGAAAAATGAACCACAGATAAACTTTGGAAACAAATTAACACATTAATTAAAATTCAGTCCAGATCTGCAAGTCATTTAAGGTCACTTGAGCACGAACAGAACTTGTTTGCCTCCTTTCTTAAAACGGCACTTACAAAAAGCCCAGAAGTTCAATGCCACGTTCTGAGGCTCATTTCTGCTCAGAAAGGTGGGGTGAAACCCAGAAAGGAAATCAAGCACATTCCAGGGGCTGACAGGCTGTGCAATTCTGCACTTCCTGACAGCTTCTGGGCAGGCACAAGCCAGCTGCACTGGGCAGTGTGGTCCCATCCTGCACAGGACTGGTGCCCATGGAAGAAGTGTGATGTGCCAAATGCTTCCCAGGCACGAATGTGCTCCAAGGACACTGCTTTGCTGCTGAGTTACCACTCCAGGTACAGTGGTGTTTACTGCCACATGGCTGGAGGCTGTTTATGTCTAGATTTACTTATTTCCTTGCTCCCTACTTGACACACTTGACTCTTGGTAACCTTAGAAATGTTTGCTGTTCTCTCTCCCACCTTTCAAAATGAATAAATAAATAAAACCACTGCTGACAGCTAAAATTCAGGCACCTGTGATAACTTCAGTAACCCAAAGCAATAAGAGCATCCAGAAGCAGAAGCACAGGTAGTGCCTGGAACCCCTCTCCCACTGCTTTTTGTGTATTTGGGATTTTCTTCCCCCCTTGGTGGCAAGAACCTCCAGGGAATCTTAAGGAGATGGCAACGAGAGCACTCCCAATCCCACCCCCCTCACACCTGGGAGCATTTTCTGTGTCTGCCTCGTGCTGGGACTAGTTCTGGCAGGGAGCTGGCACAGGAGAGCCTAGCACAGCCCAAGGAGCTCTCCTTGCTGCACTAGAGGGAATTTACATGTCATGGATGAGTCAAGTCAAGATTTTACTGCCCTGGGAGGAAGAATGGGCAAGAAATCCTCTGCTCTCTTCTCTCCTCCAAGGTCTGATCCTGCTCCTGTACAGCCCTGACACCCTTTCCTAACTGAGCTGAGCCCTGCAAAAGAAAATGTGACTCTGGCTGAGTGAAGAGTGATGGGAGCACTCTGCAGAAGCTCAGAGGTGCCACTAAATCAGTGACAATTATGGCTGTGGTATATTATGGGATGCATCAGTCAGTGCTTTTGGGCCCATCACTACAAGGATATTGAGGGGCTGGAGCTTGTCCAGGGAAGGGAACAAAGCTGGGGAAGGGGTTGGAGCTCCAGGAGTGGCTGAGGGAGCTGGAAAGGGGCTCAGCCTGGAGAAAAGGAGGCTCAGGGGAACCTTGTGGCTCTGCACAACTCCTGACAGGAGGGGACAGAACAGCTGCGAGCTTGGGCTCTGCTCCCAGGGAACAGGACAGGATGAGAGGAAACAGCTTTGAGTTGTACCTGGGGAGGTTCGGACTGGATATTGGGGAATCTTTATTGACAGAAAGGATGGACAGACATTAACACAGGCTGTCTGGGGCAGTGGTTGAAGATTTAAATCTGGAGGGGTTTAAATCTGTGTGGGTGAGGCACTTGAGTGGTGGCCTTGACAGCACTGGGGGAATGGTTGGAGTGATGGTCTTGGAGGTTTTTTCCAACACAATCAAATCTATGATTCCCCTCTGTTTGATAACCACTCTGTATGTAGGGATGGTAGGAACAGGTTCTTGCAGTGCAGGAGACACTGAAGCCACGGCCAGCTGAAGTCTCTGGCCTGCACTCCAACAGAAGCATGAGAAAGACAAGGTCCTGCCCCTGTGGGCTGGACACTTGATAAATTTGCTTATGTACAAGACAAATGAAAAAGGCTTGGAAAGAGGAAAGAAAAACCAAGATCCTACATTAAAACAAAGTTACACAGCCCTGAACGACTGAATCAGGCAGTTCTAAAAGCCAGCATTAAAAATGGAGGTGGAAAAGCAGATTCTGAGAAGTCAGAGGAGCAGGTTACCTGTACAAAGCTTCAGGTGTAAACAGCAGTAATTACAGGGCCCAAAGACCTCAACCTCTTCACCCAGCACACGATGAAGGGAGGAAAGAGATTCCTGGGTGTGAGTTTAAGCTGATTAACTCCTCACACACTCTCTGGCTCTATGCTTGCTGAACTGGTTTGCTTTTAATTATAAGAGCCACCAAGCAATAATTTGAAACTTTAAATCAGAGATTGTTTAAGAGTGGATTTAAGATCTACAGAACGAGTCAGGCTGGTTTGGACAATGCATTCATTCACCTCCTGATGGTGACTCTTCTGCCAAAGCCTTTCCCTTTCCAGAACTCAGGGAAGTTTCCAGCAGGTCACTGTGACGTTCTGTTGTTTTCTCCCCACGTTATAGTGGTTGATCCAAAAGCATGATTGACTCCCAGGCAAGTATATACGGAAACTGAAATCTTATCTTGTGAAACAGTCCCACCATCCATATTGTGTTTGCTTATCAATATTATTTCCTTGTTTTCTGCATGGCAAAAAACTTACCCAACACCAACAAATTCAACAGACTCTGAACAAACAATAGTGTTCAAGGCTAATCCTCCCCTAAGTTGAGACCAGTGCCAATTTAGAACCACCACACAATTTGATTATTATGGGTTTGTACTAGATATAATTCAAAACACTATATTAATCACCACTTCTTGGAGTGATTCTTCTCAAAAGGGAGAGAAGAACACCAAAATACTGCTACTGCAACAGTCCCCACTGGAATTGAGCTTCCTTTTAAGGCTATTTTCATCAGTTACAAAGGAAAAAGTTCAGTTAAACAAACTCTGTCACATTTAGTAGGCTATAACCACTTTTGAGCAAGCAACACACACATCTTTACAGACCAGGACGAAGGTGATTTTGGCAATATTACATTTTTTTTGTGAGGGCCTGGTGAATCTGAGCATCCTGTACTAAAAAATAGAAAGGATCCTGTCAAACCCACGGGATGCCCACGGGCTTTTGTGGCTCCTTTTGTCCGCCCTGGATCCCTGAAGGTGTCGGATACAAGCACAGCCACACACACAGCTACAGAGGAGAGAGGGGGCAAAGCCTCCCAACAGAGCCAGAAACCTCTGAAATTACAACAGCTACGTGGAGACACAACTGAGGAGGTCACAGGCTCCCATTTATTAAATGTGGGCACCAGAAACAACCCTGAATTTGAGTGCTCCAGGGCGAGCACTGCAAGGGCTCACTGCAAACTTCCTTAAGGCCCTGGAAAAAGCTGAACTGAGGAATTACCATGATTTGTGATTAAGAACATGTCAGTGCTCAACCATGAATGGAGTTGCAGTTGGATAGTCACGAGGAGCAGCCAGATTTCCATAAGGTGAGCACATACCAACAGCTGAGAAACCAAAGAGTACTTCAAGGAAGTTCAGAGGAAGATTTAACACCCAGAAATATTCCAGATGCTCAGTTAGGACCAAAAAGGTCCAACTTTCAGAAGGTGCCTAAAACCAAGACTGAGATAGATGTAAATGCATTCTAGAGAAGAAGATGCTCTCCAAGCCCTGGTTTTACCCAAAAGCCTGGCTGTGAAAGCCTGCCCTGAGGCCCAGGGCAAGAACAAGGCAGGATTGTAAGCTCTGATGGAGTTGCAGGTTTATCTCCTGATATCATAGGATTTGTATGCACCCAGGCACAATGGGGCTCTTGGCACTGGTGGTTTTACAGAAGAGGCTGATCCCTCTGTGCTGGGATGTGCTGGGGCCCTGCCTGGTTCAGGGGGAGAAAAAACACCTATTCCATTTCTACCAACTTCTTAAAATCCAACTGCAAAAATGTATTTTAAAATCTTTGTTCATTATCACTCATTGATCATGCGAATCATCAGGTGAAAAGATCTTGAGGAAGTTCTGTGATGGGGAAAGTGAAGGGGGTTGCCTGCTCTGAGACCAGGCACTCATCAGCTGCAGGGCACCAGGCTCTGCTTCAGCAGGAAAAGTCTCTCCACACCCCAAAAGACGTAGCAGAGATCAGAAGCAGCAATTACCTGGATATTGCAGTGGGGAGCTGATTAGCTGGATGTTTTCATGAGTCACTTTGTGAGGGAGACCTCCCAGAACCTCAAAATTACACAGCACAGCTTAAGTAGGATCACAGAATCCTTTAGGTTGGAAAAGCCCTCCAAGATGAAGTCCACTCATCCCTCCAGCACTGCCAAATCCACTCCCAACCCATGTCCCCAAGTGCCACATTCACACATCTGTTAAATCCCTTCAGGTATGGGGACTCCACCACTGCCCTGGGCAGCTGTGCCAGGGCTGGACAGTCCTTTCTGGGAAGAAATTTTCCCTAATATCCAACCTAAACTTCCCCTAGGGCAACTTGAAGCAATTTCTTTCTGTCCTATCCCCTATTTCCTGGGAGAACAGATTGACACCCTCCTCACCACAGCCTCCTATCAGGCAGAGTAACAATTTAAAAGACTTCTGACTGTAGAATGGTCACTGAAATCTGTTTCTTCAGAAGATAAAGCAGAACCTCAAAACCCATGTAACCACAGGTTTCAAAACTGAACTGAGTCACATTTGAACTCTCTCACAGCCTGCTAGAAGCAGTAACAGCAGATTCTCTCAAGACTCCTGTCAGAAGCAGCTTTGCAAATGCTACAGCCAGGAGCTCCAAGGCTTCTGATGAATGTTTCCAACCTAAATATTTAAGAATATGTTTTACCTGCAGCTTTTCTCACCTTTGGACCATTTGTAATGACTTGTTCCCCTGTGAAATTCCTCCTGCTTCATATTGCATGGTAATGCTCATCCACAACAATTACACAGCCAATTTTCTACACACCTGCCTGTTTTCACAAGCTTCTATTACCATTATTATCTTTCAGCCTTGTGGAGTTTGCCAAATATCCCACGACAAAGTGCACAAGCCCCAGTTATTGAAGGGTGACAGCCAAACAGGCAGGCACAATGGGCACAGGAATTGGGAGTGCAGGACTAGAGCAGCTCCAGGTGATAAATGTTCCCAGTATCAACACATCCTTGTTAATTA